AAAAAAAAAAAAAAAAAAAAAAAAAAAAAAAAAAAAAAAAAAAAAAAAAAAAAAAAAAAAAAAAAAAAAAAAAAAAAAAAAAAAAAAAAAAAAAAAAATATATATATATATATATATATATATATATATATATATATATATAATATTTATATATTTATAAATATTGGAGATATTAATGAATTTTTTTTAAAATTTAAAGATATTTTTGAAATATAATGATATTTTAATAATGGAGAAAAAAGAAAAAAAAAAATCACATTTATGTTGAATTATATATTTTATTTTTTGGTAAAAAAATAATAATAAGTAAGAAAGTGATTTTTGAAGGGTAAGTGGCAGCTGTCGGGACCCATGTGGTCCTATCGAAATGCGCGTTTTTTCAGCTGACTCGAAAACCAATCATGGATCGCCACGTAATCATTTGCCAGTTTGGTTGTGCTCAGCTTGTGGTCCCCACTCCCTAGCTGTCTCCCACGTAGAATCGATGTACAAGAGCCCACCACAAATTTCCCAGCTCAGGTCCGGCTTTCGGCTTTTCTCCCCTACCTCATCCGAGCCTCCTTTACAGTCATCGTTAAAATTAAAATATTTGTAACTTTAATTATGATCTACAAAATTATAAAATATAACCATATATATATATATATACATATATATATATATATACATATATATATATATATATATATATATATATATATCTATTTATTTATTTATTGTTATTTTTTTAATTATTTTTATTTATCTTTTAATTATTCTTATGGTCTGTTCAAATTGTTTAGTGAATTTTTTATGGTTTGATTTTATATTTTAAAAAATTACCTTCTAAAAACTATTTTAAGGAAAAATGTATTTTTTTTTAAATATAACAATAAATTCAGGTCGATTAGATTCAATAAATCTAACAAACGGCTCAGATTGAGCCGAGCTGGCTAAAAGCAAGCCGACTTGACTAATTATTATTATTTTTTTTTTCCATTTTCGACGTGGGAACTAGCAATCAAAAAACAAGCACCGGCTTGTTTTAATTATAATTAATTTTGTATAATTATAATTATAATTATATATTTTTAAAAAAATTATTAAATCACCACAAAAAATATAAAAATGTCATCTTCCCAAAGCTCTTCTGCAGAAACCTCTCTCTCTCTCTAAGTTTCATATTCGCTAATCCAGTGATCTCCGGCGTTCTTCTTCCGATCAACAGCTGAAGATTTGGTGGCGGTGGCGTCCTGAAGTTCACCTGAGCTCCGATGAGTTGCTGGAATAAATTTCCGGCGATGTGTTCTTCTTCTCGTACTTTCCTTCTTCTGTTTCCTCTGGTTCTTCACTCGTTCGTCGCGCTGGTATTTGCTCAGGGATCTAATAACACCTCGCCATGGCAGACTTTGAGTGGTGAGTTTAGAGTTCGTTTTTCTATATAGGAAATTGAATGTAGTCAGAAGTCGGAAATGGCTTGGTGAAGTTGATTTCAGCTTGTTTAGCTTTTTGTAAATGACTTCGAATTTGAACTAGGGGATTTGGAGATTTTTTTTCTTTTTTTCTAGTGCATTTCATTAGGTTATTGCCTGCTGTTTGATATCTGAGTTTGAATTTGTGTTTGGTTCTGCTTTTGCAGGAGATCCTCCATTTGTTGTGGCTCGTGGTGGGTTTTCAGGGCTGTTTCCTGATTCGAGTGGATTTGCTTACAGTTTTGCAGTTATGGTTAGTGTTCCTGATGTGATCTTATGGTGCGATGTGCAATTAACTAAAGATGGAGTTGGAATTTGTTTCCCGGATCTGAGTTTTAACAATGCTACTGACGCTAAGGGGGTTTTGGGGGAAAACCGCAGCAGTGTGTATCTTGTTAATGGAGTACCTACTAAGGGATTGTTTACGGTCGATTTCAATGCGGAAGAACTGGCAAATGTTTCTCGTAAGTTCATATTATCAACACCACTTTTCTCATTGAGCTTCATTTCTTCTCTCTCTCCTTATATTCATCTCTATCAATTATCGTGATCAAGCTGTTTGCTGAAAAGCTCAGGAAAATTTGTGCGTGTCAAGTATGGTCATCTGTTGTTGCGATCTTTTCTGTAAAATTTGGCTCTCCGTTTAGGCATTGCATGTCGCTGTTTGACATAATTAACAAAATCTAGTGGATTTCTACCTTTTAATTTCAGCATTTAAAATTTTATAACGAGGGTTCTGTTTTGTTCATATTTGATATTTCTACATGTAACGTTTTTCCAAATTTCTCTCGGGTGACCGAGGGAACTGCACTTTGAAACGGTTTCCCCCTTTTATTTCAAGTTCAACAATTGAAAATTTATTCTAACCTGAATTACTTTCTATTTTCATTTATTACAATGGGTGAACATAGATTCTTTATAAAGAAAATCGTTCTCGGATGATGATTGCATGTAGAAAACAACTTCAACATTGTACTTAGCCATGCCCGTTAATTGATTTTTGTTTTCTCTTAATTCTTCATCAAAGTCGACCCATTGTTTACTGCGATAATGGAATGTTATGGAAAATTGCCTGACATTTCGACTTAACTGGGCAGTTACTCAAGGTATCTTTTCTCGGACGAACAGGTTTGATGGCAATCGGTTTGTTATTCTCACTCCTGAAGATGTGGTTAACCAGTTCAAGCCACCAGGTTTTTGGCTGAATGTTCAGGTAATTGTATTGAATTTTACATGCTCAAGCACTAATGTTCCTTCTGTTGAGGATTGTTGGTATGGAGTCCCACTTTGGCTAATCAAGGGGTTGATCATGAGTTTATAAGTAAGGAAATACTTATAAACTTAGCCATGTCAATAGAATCCTCAAATGTTGAACAAAAAAGTTGGGAACCTTGAAAGTGTAGCCAAAAGTGACTCTAGTGTCGAACAAAGGGTCTACTTTGTTCGAGGGCTCCAGAGAAAAGAGTTGAGCCTTAAGGGGAGGCTGTTTGAGGGCTCCATAGGCCTCAGGGGAGGCTCTATGGTGTACTTTGTTCGAGGGGAGGATTGTTGGTAGGGAGTCCCACATCAGCTAATTAAGGGGTTGATCATGAGTTTATAAGTAAGGAATACATCTCCATTGGAATAAGGCCTTTTGGGGAAGCCCAAAGCAAAGCCATGAGAGCTTAAGCTCAAAGTAGACAATATCATACCATTGTGGAGAGTCGTGGTTCCTAACCCCTTCATTTTTGCAGAAATTGTGAGGCTTTACTTTCTATAGTCTAACTCATCCCCTTTATTCTTTTTGCAGCATGATGCATTCTTCACACAACGAAACTTGAGCATGAGGAACTTTGTCCTTTCTGTATCCAGACGCATCAGTGTTAACTACATATCATCACCAGAGGTGGGATTTCTTAGAAGCATAGCATCGAGATTTAATCCCCGCACAACGAAGTTGATCCTTCGGGTTTTACAACCAACTGATATTGAGATTACCACCAATCAGACATATCAATCTCTCTTACGCAATCTCACCTTTATCAAGACATTTGCTTCTGGAATTCTTGTTCCTAAGACTTATATATTGCCCATTAAGGATGGCTATATACAATCTGAAACCTCTCTTGTTTCTGACGCTCATAAAGCAAATCTGGAAATTTTTGCATCAGAGTTCTATAGTGACCTTCCACTAAGCTACAACTACAGTTATGATCCTGTTACTGAATACCTGTCTTACATCGACAATGGTAAATTTTCAGTTGATGGTGTGCTCACTGATTTCCCTATCAGTCCATCGTCAGCTATTGGTAAGTCATCATATTCCAGCTCATATATATTATGTACATGAGGGATAATTTATAATCACATATAAAATTTTGAGAAAATTGAAAAAACCACCCCTGAATTACAGGAATTGGTGATCATTCAATCTGATCAATCATCACGAACTTGTGAATTCTTACTGTTAAGCCCTTTAATATTTCAAAATGCATAGATTTCACTATAATGATTATTTCAATCTAACGCTGAAATTGTAGGATTGTTACAATTTAACCCAATCTTATTTTGACTGTATAAAATTGAAAACTATACTATAAACTACTAAAAATTTTGGTTTTCCAATTGAAGTAAAGAACTTTGGTTTGAATGTATACTCCGAGAGTCGATTGGAAAATGGTCAAATCTTATAGATCTCTTGCTATTTTATTTTTATATTTTAACCATGAGGGTAGAATTATTTCCCATTTATCTTCTTCTATCATATCGTTTTGGGAGGAAATAAATGGTTGAAATTAGCTAGAAAGTTCATTTTGTACGTTGGAGTGTCCTTTGTTATCAATGGGAGTTCTTGGTAATGGTTTATATTAGTTCTAGTTAGCCAACTTTTGATTTTTAACCATCAGCTAATCAATTGAATTCCATAGAAGATTTGTTCTTCCATTCTTCACTTTATATGAATGTATATATAACCGTTTAATCACACTCGACAACCTAAACAATATAAGTACTTCAGAATTTTAACTCGGTGTTTTTCTGCTTCATTTGATTAACATTGAAATTTCATCGAAATGACGATCTTTTCTCTGATGTTCCAGACTGTTTTGCTCATTTGGATAAGAATGCCAAAAGTCAAGGTAAGCCAGAGTTATAATAGTAGTTTTCCCTGACAATCTCGGAATTAATTTCATGCTAGACGGGATTGAATGATGGTTTAACTAAAGATCTTCTAACATTAATTTTGATATATATTTTTTCTCCTTTTCCAGCTAAACCTTTGGTTATTTCAAAATTTGGAGCTAGTGGAGACTTTCCTGGTTGCACAGATTTGGCGTATTCCAAGGCTATTTCTGATGGCGTTGATGTGCTTGACTGTCCAGTTCAAATGTCAAAAGACGGAATACCATTTTGCATGAGCTCAATTAATCTCATCGAGAGCACAACAATATCTCAAACATCATTCACTACTCTTTCTAAAAAAATTCCTGAAATTAGTCCTAACGACGGAATCTTTGCTTTTGACTTAACATGGGAAGAGATTCATGGCCTGACCCGTAAGTGGAGTTGGTTTTCAATTTTAGATACTTGTTCATAACTAAGCATATCCCTTGCAGCATGTCTACATTTTCATTTCTCGGCTTAGATACTACAACTGGAATAATTTTGTCTAGACAGACTAATATGGTCATGGTCTTAATGAGTTGCTTTTTACCTTACATTTGAAATGAAATAGAATAACATGTTTTGAGTGATATGTTCGTGAATACTGGATTGCCAGAAGCTTTCTTTTAGCTAAGTTTTGAACATTTCGAGGAATTGAATTTAAGATGTTGGGTAAAATGTGTAGAAAAAGTTCACAATTCTTTAAGAAGAGATAGCAGAAATTGTAGTCACAGCTCTTGTGATAGTATAATCTGGCATGGAATTTCTCAGTATATGATTGTTGAGTGCAATTGAGCAAATACAGGAAGAATAGAGTTTTTCGAGGGCTCGAGATATCTTTGAGTGGGGTTTGGTTCTTTGTCAAATTCTATGTGTTCTTTGTAGTTTGCCTCCCTCCGTTTATAGGCTCTCGTTTTATATGCCGTTGTATTCTTCATTTCTTCTCGATAAAAGTTTGGTTATTCATCAAAAAAAAAAAATAAACAAACAAACTGTTGAGTGCAATTATGATTTATAGATTGATAACTTGGGTATCAGAGAGAGTAGGCTATCCTTTCTCTGCAGTAGAACATATCCAGTCTCTACGATTCCATTAGTAGTCTCTACGATATCATCTCATCTGCATTGAGTATGGATCATCTGATAGCTTTTGTAGAAACAATGGTACAAGTGTTAGCTTGAAATGCTTTTGTTTTGCAAGAACTAAGATGAAATGCCAATATTCTTACCATTTATTCTCAACTGCAGCGTCAATATTGAGCCCTTCGTCGAAGTTCACGTTGTTCCGAAACCCGAAGTCCCGAAACAGTGGGGAATTCTTAACGCTACCTGATTTCTTGGACTTGGCAAAGAATTCCAGCACTCTTTCTGGTGTCTTGATCCACATTGAGGTTAGAGTTATTTTTGTCATAATTAAATACAACATGTTTAAGATCCTTGATATATGAATGTGAAATCATTTGATATTAATAATAACCTGCTCTGCACGCTAAGTTCTGGGGAACATAAAATAGATTGTGCTGGTGGATGACTAGGTTGTGCCAAGGAATGAACACTATCCTGTGAGGTGCAATGTGGGGAACTAACCTTTTGGATAACTTCCTAGCCTAAGAAATATGTGATCTGCTATTTGTTGTCTACAAGTTCGATATTAACTACAAGTCCAATATGTGCTCTAACTTTTGTCATGTTTAAAATCACTCTAAAACAAACTTTAATATTCAAAATCCATTTTAATTGTAAAATCAAATATTAAATTGATTTTGAATGATTAAAGACATGTTTGGTGTACAAAATTACTTCCGAACATGCCTTACTACCATATTATCATTGCTTTTAATAGCTGTGGAGAAACATTCTCAGATCTCTGCTTTACCAATCGTCATTTACTGTCTTTAGAAGAAGACGCCTTTGATATTTGATACTTGGGGTGATAATCCTGCTTCATGTCTTCTTGTTAGCACTCAGATATAGTGTTTATAGACAGCATTTCTTTGACTACGATATGGGCTTTAGAAGCTTCTATAACGATCATGCTATCAAAACATGGAAGTTCTTGTGCTATTTATTTCAATTGATGATATCTTGTGATTTGTTCTCAGAATGCAGCTTACCTTGCTAAGGCGCAGGGTTTAAGTGTAATTGATGCGGTCATTGATTCCTTGAGCAAAACTGGTTATGATAATCAGACAGCACAGAAAGTATTGATTCAATCTCCAAGTAGCTCTGTTCTAATCAAATTTAAACAGGAAAAGAAAAAATACGAGCTTGTTTACAAAGTCGACGAGTCAATTAGTGATGTGCTCAATTCTACTGTTGTGGACATTAAGAGTTTTGCCAACTCTGTGACTGTCAGCAAAACCTCTGTCTTACCTGTAAATGAGCAATTTCTCATTGGACCTACAGATGTTGTGACGAAGCTGCAATCACTTAATCTCTCTGTATATGTGGAAACCTTCAGCAATGAATTTGTCTCTCAAGCATGGGATTTCTTCTCAGATGCAACAGTAGAGATCAACTCATTTGTTATGGGATCCGGCATTGATGGAGTCATCACTGACTTTCCAAAGACATCTGCTAGATATAAAAGTAAGAATCTTCCTTCCAGTAGTCTAGATTAATATGTTTTCATCAATGGTGGTAATGATAATCCTATTGCTGCTCTCTGAAAAATTGTACTTGTTGCCTAGCTGAAATAATTTTAATCACGTCTAAAGTTAGTAGGATTTCTCTTCTAACACTCATGGATTGACTGTTTTACAACCAAAAGTGTTTCGGTTGAGGATTGTTGGGAGGGAGTCTATATTAACTGGCTAATTAAGGAGATGATCATGAGTTTATTAGTAAGGAATATGTCTCCATTGATATGAGGCCATTTTGGGGAAACCAAAAGTAAAGTCATGAGAGCTTATGCTCAAAGTGGATAATATCATACCATTATAGAGGTCCATGGTTTCTAACATTGTATCAGAGCCATGCTCTTAACTTAGCCATGTCGAACAAAGAAGTTGTGAGTCTTGAATGTGTAGTTAAAAGTGACTCAAGTGTCGAATAAAGAGTGTACTTGTTCAAGGGCTCCAGAGCAGGAGTCGAGCCTGAATTAAGTGGAGGCTATTTGAGGGCTCCATAGGCTTGAGGGGAAGCTTTATGGTGTACTTTCTTCGAGGGGAGAATTGTTGAGGATTGTTGGGAGGGAGTCCACATTGCCTAATTAAGGAGATGATTATGGATTTATAAGTAAGGAATAAATCTCTATTGGTACGAAACATTTTGGGGAAACCAAATACAAAGTCATGAAAGTTTAGGCTCAAAGTGAACAATATTATACCATTGTGGAGAGTTGTAATTTCTAACGAGACATACGTTCATATATATGTTCCTTTAGTTCTCAGGTGATCATTTTGGCATATAAAAGAGTATTTTTTTAGTACCGTCATTTTGATTCCTTTTTCCGAGCCAGGTCATTGATTTAGTTCTCTCAAACTAAATGCAGAGAACCGGTGTTTAACAATGAAAGTAGCACCAAGTTACATGAGCCCTGTCCAGCCTGGTAGCTTGATGCAGCTTATTACTGCAGACTACCAGCCTCCAAAGGAACGTCCAAGCCCGATTTTAGATGACAATGACGTAGCCGAGCCACCATTGCCTCCGGTTTCGAAGAAAGCCCCAGGACCTGCTGTGGATGATGGCTCTACAGCAAAACCTCCAACGTCCAAACCCAATGGACAACCCAAGCTTGGAGCTGGAACAGGCTTCTTGCTCTTGAACCTTGCCATACTCTGCCTTTCTCTTCTTCCATTCTGAGAAAGACAGCAGCGCATGCTCGGGTTCGTTTCGACTGTAAATTTCGTACCGTTGTTGCCGTTCTAGAATCGAACTTTGGTAGTCCAAATTCTTTTCATGATTTGGTATTTAATTCTTTGAACTTTGCTGTCTGTAGGTATCTTTATTTCTTGTTTCCCACGTTAAAAACATCCATTCTTGAGAGGAGGGTACATTCATGATGATGGATAGAGTATCTATCTATCTATCTTTGTAACCAAATCTTCCACTATTTTGCTCTTCTTGACTGTGTTGTCACTTGTAAGTTATGTTTATGATTATTTTCTTTGTTGTGTTCATCCAAATTGCTTTAACCTCTCCACTTCAGCTCTCTAGATCAAATTATTAATATTTAGAATTTCAAAACCCAAATAGAAACTTAATTTGAATTCTAAGACTAATTTTAATCAATTTTGGTAAAAGTAACACGACCCGCCACGTAAAATTTAGCTTCACTCGGTAATAATTCTATTTTTTCAGAAAAAGAAATGCTCGTTTCCTTGCAAGTTCAAAGTATCTTTCTTCGGTATTTGTAACGGTCAAATCTACCACTAACAGATATTATCTTCTTGATTTTCCCTTCCATACTTTCCTTCAACGTTTTTAAAACGCATGCTACAGAAAGGTTTCCACACCCTTATAAAAGTTGTTTCGTTCTCCTTCCAACAAATGTGGGATTCTCACAATCCACCCTATTTGGGGTCCAGTGTCCTCACCGACACTCGTTTTTTTCTCCAATCGATGTGGGGACCTCACCAAATTCACTCCCCTTTGGGTCCCATCCTTACTGGCATGTCGCCTCGTGTCTATCCCCTTTCGGGGAACAACCTCCTCGCTGACACATTGTCCAGTGTCTGGCTCTGATACCATTTGTAACGCCCTAAGTCCACCGCTAGTAGATATTGTTCTCTTTGGGCTTTCCCTTTCAGACTTTCCTTCAACGTTTTTAAAACGCCTTTTCTAGGTAAAGGTTTTCACACCCTTAGAAAGGGTGTTTCATTCTCCTTCCCAACCAATGTGAGATTTTCACATTATCTATAGAATTTTCATACCAAATTTGAAATCAAAAACAAATTTTTAACTTTCAAAAGATCTATTTTTTCTTTTTAGTTCTATATAACAGAAAACTAAAAATAAATAGTCATCAAATAAATCTAAATCGAATCGATATCATATGTTCAGAGAAACTAATATCATTGGTCGGTGCAAACAAAGTCTTACATTGATTAAGAAAACGAGAGATTCATGGGATATAAGTAAGAATGAATATCTTCACTGATACGAGACCTTTTAGTATTGAAAAGTACTGTCCCGAAAATTCCCGTCTTTCGAAGATGAAAATTATCATTCCATTTTAAATTTGATTAAAGGGAACTTTCCTATGAATTGCCAAGGAGAAAAAAAGTGGAAAGATGGGACCCAACAAGTAGGGCATAAAGGTGTGAAAATGAAATTCATCATAAATTAATTTTGTGGTCAAAATATAGTTATGACTTATGATTCTAAACTTTAATGCATACTTTTAATTAATTTGAATGAGTAAATGAATGAATTAGTTGCTTTACTGAATTCAATCGAATCAAGCTATGATCGTAGCCAGGGATGATGGCTAAGCAGAAAGAAAGATTTCCGCCTTTCGTCCAACTCGGCAGCATTCATGAGTCCTGTTTGGAGAAGAATCAACCGAATAGCTAATAGCATAGTTCAAGATCATTCTTGTTCATTAGATTCTCCCTTTATTCTTGGCCCCATATTATGGAAGTGCGTCCGGAGGTTCACTGAAGAAATGATTTGAGATTGTAGCTCAATCAGTTAATCTTTCAGTTCTTCAAAACGGATTCAATTTCTTCTCGTTCTGGAAATTGACATCTCAGAAAAGAGATTGAACAGGAGAAAGGAAAGAAAGATCAGCAAAGTATAGTGTCTCCCCTGCCCAGAATTATTTGATTATTTCGACACAAGAACAAGAGAGTTCAATCCGTCCTATTCTCTGATTCTTTTTCTTTCATTCTCGTCAGGTTCAGGTTCAGGATTTCATTCATTTAGCATTCCAATCCTATCTCAAGGGCAGGGGATAGAGTCAAACAAAGATGAAGAGGCAAAGCCACAAGCGAGATCGAGTTCAATCAGTTAAAGAAAAGGAGAAAAAATCAATAGGTGAAGGATTGAATGAATTTAGCTTTACCTCGTGAAGAAATTTCCGTCAAGGAATAGAGCTGTTCTTCAAGTTTATCAATCTATAATTTTATTTTTAACTCTTTTTTAAAAAAAGATTTGAACGTTTTTAAAATTTAGCCAATTTGAGCGTAGCTTAACAAATCTCATTTTTTCTAATTTTTTTTTTTAAATTAAGTCATTTTTATTTTTGATTGTTAAAAAAATTAAGGATTTAAAATGTCATAACATTTCTTCGAGTTCGACGTCTAGTGAACGTTTTTCCAAAATGCGAGAGATATCGATAGTTGTTTTTCATGATTTCTTTTTCATCGTGAAAAGTCTTGTTTACTAATTCAAACATGTTTCATGGGTTTTTGAGATCGATGAATTTATATGGATATTTCGAACCTTGTAGCTTTAGTCAATATTTCTCCAAGATTTTCATCAACCTTGACATTTTGAGCTCGGTCAGGAACGAGAGAGAGTTGAGAGAGATCTCTCCACATTAGCTAAATGGGAACGGATATGAGGATTATGTCACTGTTCAAATTTCTACCTCTTCCTCCCTTGTCAAAAAAGAAAAGAAAATATATATATATATATATATATATATATATATATATATATATATATATATATAGATATATATAGATATATAGATATAGATATAGATATAGATAGAGGTACAAACGTAACTTATTTTATATTTACATTTTTTATATATAAATGGTGGAATACAACGTTATAATATTAAAATTTCTAAAAATTAGGTTAAATATTATATTATATTTATAGTTATGAAATATTATTGAATTTATTAAGATATATATATATATTTTTAAATAGAAAAAATATTGAAAAATGGAAATAGTTCATTTTTTTAAAAAAAATATATATATAAAAAATGAAAAAAAATCTTCACAAGAAACTTGATTAGTATAAATTTTTAGCTCGGATTCTTAATATAAATAAATGAAAATTTTTGGGACAATAAAAATTGAAATAGAATGTGAAATCCCATTTTAGTTAGAAAGAAGAACGAAACATTCCTTATAAGAGCTGAAAACCTCTCTGTAGTAGAAACGTTTTAAAATTGTGAGGCTAAAGATGATACATAACGGGACAAAGCAAACAATATCTACTTATAAGAGAGTGAAAACCTTTCATTAGTAGACACGTTTTAAAATTGTGAGGTTGATGATGATACATAATAGATCAAAACAGACAATATATGTTAGCGGTGGGCTTGAACTCTTACATCAAAATTGGGGACGAGAACGTAGAAGGGTTATCTACCCGTCCTAAACAAGGTTAAATCCAATTGAAACTTTAAAGCACCAAAAGACAATATTTTAACCAAAACAACGCTACACCTCATCACAACGCCAAGATGACGTTCTTACAAACAGTGAGCAAAGGGGAAAGAGAGTCCCATAAGCGAAAGAAAACCCCAAAAATGTCAAATTCAGCCCTTTCAGACCATATTTTAACCCAACTCAGTCTCCTTTGGCAACCCACTTCTTCTCTTTCCATTTCATACCATTTTTCCTCGTTCCTTATAAATTCACTTCTTCTTCCTCTAATCTTGTATGCCAAGTTTCTAATTTGAGCCACAATGCCGGAGAAATCGAGCCATAATGTTGTTTTAGAGCCTCGTTTGGTGGCTAGGAAGTTCCTGGCTAGGCCTCAGCATGAAGGGATGGGTGCCATTGTTCGAAGGAGCATTGGAAGGTAATGAAATGTTGAATTTTTTTTTATGGGGTTTGAGATTTTTGTAGTTTGAATCATGGGTTTCTCTCTGTTTCTTGTTTGATCTTATGAATGTACCATTTTGAATGAGTTGGTGGTGTTTGGAGAGGGAATTTTGATGGGTATCTCTCTGTTTTTAGTTCTTTTTAATGGCTTGAATGTAGCATTTGAGTTAGTGAATTGAGAGGATGTTCTTGGGTTATTGTTTGGTCTTATGTTTCAATGGTGTTTTTGACAGGTTTGAGCTGAAATACTTTGACCCTTTTCTGGTTTTGGATGAGTTTTCAGGTGGGTTTCTCTATGTTTTTTGTTCTTAGTTTTTGTGTGTTGAAATTGAATGGGTAGATCCCATGTTGATCGGAGAGGGGAACGAAACATTTTTTATGGGAGTGTGGAAATTTCTCCCTAGTAGATGCGTTTTAGAATCAGTTGACGATATGTAATGGGCTAAAGCGAACAATATTTGCTCGCGGTGGGCTTGGGCTGTTACAAATGGTATTAGAGCTAGACACTATGTGGGTGGTGTGCTAGTGAGGATGTGGGCCTCAATAAGGGTGGATTGTGAGATCCCATCTTGATTGAAGAGCGAATGAAACATTGCTTATAAGGGTCTGGAAATCTCTTCTTAGTAGACGCGTTTTAAAATCGTGAGGCTGTCGGTGATACGTAACGGGTCAAAGCGGATAGTATTTGCTAGCGGTGGGCTTGGGCTGTTACAAATGGTATCAAAGCCAGACATTGGGCAGTGTGCTAGCGAGGATGTTGGGTTCCAAGAGGGGTGGATTGTAAGATCTCACATTGGTTGGAGAGGGGAACGAAACATTCCTTGTAAGGGTGTGGAGAACTCTTCCTAGTAGATGCGTTTTAAAATCGTCAGGCTGATTGCGATACGTAATAGGCCAAAGTGGACAATATCTGCTAGCGGTGGGTTTGGGCTGTTACAAATGGTATCAGAACCAGACATCGAGTGGTGTGCTAGTGAGGACGCTAGGACCCCAAGGGGGTGGATTGTGAGATCTCACATTGGTTGGAGAGGGGAACGAAACATTTCTTATAAGGGTGTGGAAACCTCTCCTTAGTAGACGTGTTTTAAAATCGTGGGGCTGATGGCGATACATAACGGGTCAAAACGGACAGTATTTGCTAGTTGTGGGTTTGGGCGGTTACAAATGGTATCAAAGCCAGATACTTGGCGGTGTGCCAACAAGATCGCTGGGCTCCCAAGGGGGTGGATTGTGAGATCCCACATTGGTTAGAGATGTAATCGAACATTCCTTATAAGGGTGTGGAAATCTCTCCCTAGTAGACGTAATTTAAAACAGTGAGGCTGACGACGATACGTAATGGGCCAAAGCAGACAATATCTACTCGCGGTGAACTTAAGTTGTCACGACATATGCTTATGATATTTGCTTCTTGAACTTTGCAGTTACTGCCCCAGCTGGGTTCCCAGATCATCCACATAGAGGTTTGGAATTTGGATATTTGATTGCTGGTGTTCTTATTGAACTTGATTATGATTAAGATTAATACATTTTATTAACTTTGTCATCATTCTTTGAGTTGGAACAGGATTTGAGACAGTGACCTACATGTTACAGGTATGACCAATTCATGACCTCACCACAAAACTCAGTTTCTTGGGTAGGTTTTGATGATTTTATGTGTGAGATCTCACGTTGATTGGAGAGGGGAACGAGTGTCAGTGAGGACGCTAGCTCCGACATTCTTTATAAGAGTGTGGAAACCACTCCCTAGTAGACGCATTTTAAAAACCTTAAGGGAAGGCCTGATAGGGAAAGCCCAAAGAGGACGATATCTGCTAGCGGTGGGCTTGGGTCATTACAAGCGGTATTAGAGCCAGACACTGGGCAATGTGCTAGCGAGGAGACTGAAACCCGAAGGGGGGTGGACACCATGTGGTGTGCCAAGGAGGATGCTGAGCCTCGAAGGGAGTGGATTGTGGGTCCCACACCGATTGGAGAGGGGAACGAGTGCCAACGAGGCCACTGGGTCCTGAAGGGCGGTGGATTTTGAGATCCCACATCGGTTGGAGAGGGGAACAAAGCATTCTTTATAAGAGTGTGGAAACCTCTTCTCGTTTTAAAACCTTAAGGGGAAGCTCGGAAGGGAAGACCCAAAAAAGACAATATCTACTAGCGGTGGGCTTGGGCCGTTACAACTACTCTTTTTGAAATTAGCATCCATCGAATCAAGATAAGTATACATTTCGAAATTAAGAGCTTCTCGAGTCTCCAACCAACGTGGTTTTTAAAACATGTATGCTAGGGAGAGGTTTCCACACCCTTATAAGGAATGTTTCGTTCTCCAATACTGCCCAAGTGTCTTGATACCATTTGTAACAACCCAAGCCCACCGCTAGCAGATATTGTACTCTTTGGGTTTTTTCTTTCGGGCTTCCTCTCAAAGTTTTTAAAATGAGTATGCTAGGGAGAGGTTTCTACACCCTTATAAGAAATGCTTCGTTCTCCTCTCCAACCAACGTGGGACCTCACAACTTCTGATTAGAAAACAGTAATACTAATGTTAAGGTCGTGAAGAACACGTTTGATTTGACGCTATACAATTCATTTATTCACTAATACGTTAAAAAGAAAAGACACAAATTGGGTCGTTCTAAATTATTTTAGTTGTGGGGCCTTGAAAGTAGACACAACCCATTGATTGTTACCCGTTTGGGTTCACAGGGAAGTGTGACACATGAAGATTTTGAAGGCCACAAGGGAACAATAGGAGCAGGTGACTTGCAGTGGATGACTGCAGGTAGAGGTATTGTACATTCAGAAATGCCTGCAGCTCAAGGTACCCAAAAGGGCCTCCAGCTATGGATCAACCTCTCTTCCAAGAACAAAATGTAAGAACCACCTTTTTTATGCACTTTTTTTGCTATTAACTTTTATAAATGGGTATCATGGGTCTCACTATAACGGTCCAAGCCCACCGCTAGCAGATATTGTCTTTCTCTTTGGGCTTTCCCTTCCGAGCTTTCCCTTAAGGTTTTTAAACGCGTCTGCTAAGATGAGGTTTCCACACCCTTATAAAAAATGTTTTGTTCTCCTCTCGAACCAATGTGGGACCTCACAATCCACTTCTCTTCGAGGCCTAGTGTTCTCATTGGCACACCGCCTTGTATCCAGCCCCCGTCAGGGTTCAGCCTCCTCGTTGGCACATTGCTCGGTCTCTAGCACTGATACTATTTGTAACCGCCCAAACCCACCGCTAGCTAACAGATATTGTCCTCTTTGGGCTTTCTTTTCCTAACTTTCCCTCAAGGTTTTTAAAACGCGTCTGCTAGGGAGAGGTTTCCACACCCTTATAAAGAATGCTTCGTACCTCTCTCCAACCGATGTAGGATCTCACAATCCACACCCTTTCGAGACCTAACATCCTTGCTCGCACACTGATTGGTATCCACCCCCCTTCGGTGTTCAGCCTCCTCGCTGACACATTGCCCAATGTCTGACACTAATACCATTTGTAACAGCTCAAACCCACTGCTAGCAAATATTGTTCTCTTCAGGCGTTCTTTTTCAAGCTTCCCTTGAAGGTTTTTAAAAAACGTTTACTAGGAAGAAGATTTCACACCTTTATAAAGAAACCGACGTGGGATCTCACAATCCATCCCCCTTCGAGGTTTAGCTTCCTCACTAGCACATACTCAGTGTCTGACACTAATACCATTTGTAATAGTCCAAACTCACTGATAGCAGATATTGTCCTTTTTGGGCTTTTCCTTTCAGGCTTCTCCTCAACGCTTTTAAAACGCGTCAGCTAGGAAGAAGTTTCAACACCATTATAAAGAATGCTTTATTCCCCTCTCCAACCAATGTGGGATCTCACACCCACTTCTTCTTCTGTACTCATGGCCCATACTCACTTTTTTTTTTTTTATCGTAATACCTCATTCACGCTAAACTGGCTCCACGAGCACTAGGATGAACACTTAATTTGGAGATCTGAAGGGTTTGGATTTCCAAACATTCCAAGTCCTTACAGCCAAATGATTAACTAATGCTTTGTCCACAAACAACCATTATGATTTTTCATGACAAAGGTGCTTTTGAGTGAAGCACACTTTGTATGTGGAAGATCAACTTCAACGACCTTTCTTTTGCTTCTGAATGAATCTTGTCAAGTATTTGTTGTGTTGTGCTGTCTTATCTGTTATCACCTTTTTGTTTCTTCCTCTCAGCTTGATTTTCCCTTCATTAAATCTTTAAAACTACTTGTAATCCCAAAGAGTTAGAGCTTTGTGGACTGATAAATTAGTTCACTTGTCGGATCGATACGTCGGAGGGTAGACGTCGATGGAACGGACTTTGCCTATACGAATTGTCGACTCCCTCCAATGCTTTGTGGATAGATAAAATAGTGTAGTGGCTAGCTCGTTGATATAATTAGGACTCGAGATGCTCTTAACTTCGAAAGATATACTTATCTTCATTCGATGGATGCTATCGAGTATAGATCGTGTAAATTTCAGAAAGAGTAGTTGTAACGGCTTAAGCCCATTGCTAGCAGATATTGTTCTTTTTGGGTTTTCCCTTCCGGGCTTTCCCTCAAGGTTTTAAAATGGGGAGAGGTTTTCACACTCTTATAAAGAATGTTTTATTCCCCTCTCCAACTGATGTGGGATCTCACAATTCACCGCTCTTCGTGGTCCAACGACCTCGTTGGCACTCGTAGAGGTTTTCACACTCTTATAAAGAATGTTTTATTCCCCTCTCCAACTGATGTGGGATCTCACAATTCACCGTCCTTCGTGGCCCAACGACCTCGTTGGTACTCGTGTAGGACCCCCAATCCTCCCCTCTCCAACCGATGTGGGATCTCACAATCCACCGCCCTTCGTGGCCCAGTGGCCTTGTTGGCACTCGTTCCCCTCTCCAATCGATGGGGAACCCTAATCCACCCCCTTCGGGGCTCAGTGTCCTCCATGACACACTACATGGTGTCCAACCCCCCTTCAGGTTTTAGCCTCCTCGCTGGCACATCGCTCGGGGTCTAACTCTAATACCATTTGTAACAGTCTTAGCCCACCGCTAGTAGATATTGTCTTCTTTGGGCTTTCCCTTCAAAGTTTTTAAACGCTACTATTAGGTAGAGGTTTCCACACCCTTACAAAAAATGCTTTGTTCCTCTTTCCAACCGATGTGGGATCTCACAAATCCACCGCCCTTCAGGGACCAACGTCCTCGTTGACACATGTCCCTCTCCAATCAATATGGGACCCCCAATTCTCTCCTGGCACATCACCCGATGTCTGGCACTGGTACTGTTACCATTTGTAAGGCCCAAGCCCACCGCTAGTAGATATTGTCCTCTCTAGGCTTTCCCTTCCGGACGTCCCCTCAAGGTTTTAAAACACGTTTATTAGGGAAAGGTTTCCACACCCTTAAAAAGAATGTTTCACCCCCTCCAACCAATATAGGATCTCACAATAGTTACGATAGAAAATGACGTAAATCTCATCGTCTAGTTGAAATTTTCATTTCGTTTCATACGTATCTTATAAGAAAGCTAGACATAATTCCCACCAGCTTCTTTAACAGTTCCTATTATGAATCTCAGGATTGAACCAAACTACCAAGAAGTTTCAAGCAAGGAAATCCCTGAAGCTACCAAAGATGGAGTGATAGTGAAAGTAATAGCCGGTGAGGCATTGGGAGCAAAGTCACCAATCTACACAAGAACACCAACCATGTACTTAGACATCACTCTCAAGCCAAAAGCTCATCTCCAGCAGCCGATCCCATCGTCCTGGAACGCGTTCGTTTACGTTCTTGAGGGCGAAGGCATATTCGGCAGTTCGAAGGCGACATTGACGACAGCACATAACCTTCTTCTGCTCGGGTTCGGGGACGGTTTAGAGGTGTGGAATAAGTCAGCTAAGGCTCTCAGGTTCATTTTGGTAGGAGGTGAACCATTGAGTGAGGCTGTTGTGCAATTTGGTCCATTTGTGATGAACACTCAAGAGGAAATTGACCAAACAATTGATGATTTTGATAATTATACCAATGGGTTTGAGAAAGCAAGGCATTGGAGATCAGAAGCTGCAATTTCTCTTGGGTTCTAACCCTTTTTTTTTTTTTTTTTTTCATAACAAATCATTGCTTCAATCCGTTTCCCCTTAATCAATAGTTATAATCTTCGTTTGAACCTCATCCTTTATGATATCCCACATCGATTGGAGAGTGGAACGAAACATTTCTTATAAGAGTGTAGAAATCTCTCTCTAGTAGACATGTTTTAAAACTCTGAGGCTGACAACGATACATAACGAACCAAATCATACAATATCTGCTAGCGGTGGGCTTGAGTTGTTACAAATGGTATCAAAGCCAATCACCGGGCGATGCGAGACACTGGTCGAAATAAGGCTAGATCCTCTCTTTAGTAGAGAAAACTCAAAAAAGACTATCTATTAGCGGTGTATTTGAGCCATTACATCCTTAACTTTAAGGCTATGTTATCCTAAGGTATTGCTAAACGGAATGATCTTATCAATGTCCATAAATGATTAATCATAGATCGAATAGCCGAATCGAAAATATATATATTGTTGGATGATAAAAGTCTCACATCGGGTAATTTAGGGAATGATCATGAGTTTATAAGTGAGGAATCCATTCGTATGAGGCCTTTTGGGGAAGCCCAAAGCAAAGCCATGAGAGCTTATGCTCAAAGTGGACAATATCATACCATTGTGGAGAGTCGTGTTCGTTTAACATGGTATCAGAGTCATGCTCTAAACTTAGTCGTGCCAATAGCTAAGACTCCAAAGGGAGTCGAGCCTCGATTAAGGGGAGACGTGCTTTGTTCGTGGGGAGGTGTTGGATGATGAAAGTCCCATCCGGCTAATTTAGGGAATGATTTGTCAGTGGACAATATCATACCATTGTGGAGAGTCGTGTTCGTCTAATATATATATATATATTAACATTTGAATTTTTATTTTTATTAATTTCCCTTTAATTTTGGTCCTCCCATTTTATGTTTGTGGACCAAACCAATAATTGATGTTCCCCAACTTTCCTTGGAAAAAGTGGCCAATGGGTATAAATTCAAAGTGGAAAAAAAAAAAAATGGTTATTATTAATTTTTATTTCTTTTCCTTCTCTTTAATTCTATTTTACTCCATTTATTTTCCTTTTTATTTTAAATTCCTATATATATAATGTTTAAATATTAAAATACGAGCATATGTTATATCGATTTACATAAAGTACGGGTGTATACGAGCTGAGTTGACTCAAGTTGAAATTCTTTTAGACCAATTCAAAATTTCGAATTAGTTGGATCGGTGATCCGAGTAACTCAATACCTCAACCCTCTGTTATTGAGTTGAGCTGTAATATTGTTTTATTTAAAATAAAAATGTTACTGATGTACCGTAAAATCTCATAAAATTTAAATATCAAATATTTACGGGTTATAATATATCACTAACCTGAGTTACAAATGTTAAATGTTCTTAATTTTTTTTAAATTAGGGTAAGGGGTTGGGTTGGGTCGGGTTGTAGCGCTATTTTCGAGTTTATTGAGTTGACTTGACAAAAAAAAAAAGTCAACCCCAAATGAATTGACTTTTCGATCTTCTAAATATTCAATGTAGTCCAAGCTGAAAATAATAATAATAATAATAATTCAACGGTTTGAGTTGAGTAATCTGGATTGATTGGATTATCAGATTATATGAACAAAGGTATGGTTTCGAACACAGATATTTATAGATAGTAAATAAAATAAATATAATTTTAATGAAAAAATTAATACACGACAGGAGACCGTAATTAAGTAACCTCTTATCTATCCTCCTCTCGATGTTAAACTTTATCCGATTGTCAAATTGTCAAATCTAGACTTTTACTCCGAGCAATAAATACGTCATTTAATATAGTTTTGTTATGGTTCCTACCATGACCTAAAATATAATTTGAACCGTTTATATTTTTCATTATTTTTTTTTAGTAATAAGACTATTATTTAATTATTTTAATAAATCAAATGGCGACAAGTAGTGAGTTTGAGCTGTTACAAATGGTATTAGAGTTAGTCACCGAGTAGTGTGTTATAGTGAGGACGCTAGGTGTCACGGTCATGCTTGTCCAAGGCGTGTTGTCTATGACCGCATGTTGGATGTCTCGATCATACTTGTCCAAGACGTGTTATCTATAGTCACATGCCTGTTTAGATTTAGATAGTCTTTTACTATTTTATGTTGTGTCAATACGAAGGTGTATGACCATTCACTAAAATCATGTCTACACCAACCAATGTTAAAATACCCCAAAATGTACTATAAGGGGATGCCAAGCTTATATGCTATTTAAGTCGTGATGCTGTTTTCTTCAATTCTTTCAAATCGTTTTCAAATGTATTTTCTCGCTTACATGACTCGAGGCTCGAGCATACGTCGATGTTATCCACGACGTCTGAATTTCTCACAGCTGACTTGATTGTTGGGTTAAAACAAGTATCGTACAGTCGCTGTCGGAAGAGTGCAATTGTGACACTAAACTCCCAAATGAGGTAGATTGTAAGATCCTACATTGGTTGAAGAGATTAACGAAACATTTCTTATAAGGGTGTCAAAATCTCTCCCTAGTAAACACGTTTTAAAATCGTGAAGCTAACGACAATACTTAACGGACTGTAACGAACAATATTTATTAGCGGTGGGCTTAAACTGTTTTTATCTCGTATTTATTTCCTAAAAAATATTCATTTTCACCTTATTTCTTCCAAATAATAAATTATTAGCGAAAATACTCATTTTCTTTTCAATCTACCTTAATATTCCATATTGATATAAATGTTTTTCAAAAAAGGAAAAAAAAAAAAAAAACTATTTCATTCAAAGTTGGAGCCAATTAAAATAAATAAATAAATAAATAAATCCCTTTTTCTTTAATGGAGTCTATATTATTTTAATTTTAATTTTAATTTTTTGTTCTTATTATTTCATTTCATTACAATTTTCCCTAATTTTTTAAATTTATTAAAATATAACCCTTTATTTTATTTAAAAATTAAACTCATGCTGACGTGGAAAATAGAGTGGTTCTACCTGCCAAAACTCATCTACGTATTATTGTAACACTTACTGATATACCTCATAGTTGGGCAGTACCTTCCTCAAGTGTCAAATGTGATGTTGTACCTAATCGTTTAAATCGGATCTGTATTTTGGTACAACGAGAAAGAGTTTACTATGGTCAGTGCAGTAAGATTTGTGGAACTAATCATGCATTTACGCGTGCGTACGGAAACATAGGTCAACTACTGAACCTACTCTGGCTCAGCTGCACCACCGAGAAGCAAGCTATTACAGCTAGTCAGCTATTTATGTTTCTAGCCTATAATAATTTTAAAAAAAAAAAAAAATCTAAAAATTACTTTTTATATTTTAAAAATGGTCTAAAATACCAAGAAAATGTAACCATTTTTTTTAAATATACCAAAAATAAAATCATCATAAAATAAACTAACCCTTGTAATGTTTTTAGTTTTTTCCAAAAAAAAAAAAAAAAAAAAAAAATCCATTTTTTCAAAGAACATATTTATCATTTAATAAATAATTATACTAAAAAATATCTTTTCTTCTTCTTCATCTTCATCATCTTCTTCTTCACTGTTAGAGAGAGAGAGAGAGAGAGAGGATTTTAGAGAGAGGATTTTAGAGAGAGAAAAGCTTGGAAAGGTAAAACCAATCTTCTTCTTCTCTCTCTTGTCTCTTTCAGAAAGAGATGAACAATTCTATCTCTCTCTAAGAATCCATGGAGAAAAAAGCTCACACGCAGAGATTGAGTGAAACCCAAGCCATGGGAATGGATTTCAGAAGCTTTTGAAAGCATACAGAAATCATTGTTGCTTCATTTGATTCTCTTGTTCACTTTCTCTCTCTCTCTTGATCTTTTTCAGCCATTTCCGCCATGAACGGCAAAACCCAAGCTCTGTTACTGAAGATCCTCTTCATTCTCTTCGCCTTCAACACCCTAACTCTCTGCATTTACTTCACTGCCCATTACAAAACATCCTCGTCTAGTTCCCCTCACCGGAAACCCACATCGGAAAACCGCTTCCCCTTCCCGGAAAACCGACATTCTTCCAAGCCCTGGCCTATTTTGCCCTCTTATCTTCCTTGGTCTCACTCATCCACTGTCCCTCTGCGTTCCTGTGAGGCTTATTTCGGCAATGGCTTCAACCGCCGTGTAGATCTTTTAAAACCTAATCTCGCCGGAAAACTCGCCGGATGGTTCCGATGCTGGTATAGCGAGACGCTCGCGAGTTCAATATGTGAGGGAGCGAGAGTCCGAATGTGGCCGGAGAGGATTTCCATGTCCCGAGGAGGCGAGAGGATTGAAGAAGTGATCGGAAGGAAGGAAGAGACGGAGTTGCCCAAATTTCGGGACGGCGCTTTTGAACTAGACGGCGGCGATACCGTCGTGGGCAAGGAGAGGGTTCTAGCGGATGAGAAATTTCTTAATGGATTCGTTCCGGCAGGGGAGATTCAGAGCCACACCATGCGCGCATTGTTTGGATCATTCCGAGTTGTTTCTGGGAATGATTTCGAATGCCAAGAGGTAGATTATAACTGTTCATCACTCATTTAGAGCTCTTGTTCTTCCATTTCTGCATCCATCCATGTTTAAACAGAAACTTTTATGGGATTCTGTGAATTGGGATCGTTTATACTGACCTTATAATCAACTCATCTTTGTTTTTTTGGGCTTTGGAGCTTCTGTTCTTCCATTTCTGCACTGTTTTTCATTGAAACTGATGAAGATGAAGGCCCCATTCTTAGTTTAGAGTATTAGTTTATGATTCTCCATGAATGAACAACAAGTTTTATGGGTTTCTGTGATTGAGATTTCTTATATTGACTTCAGAATCAAGATTTAGAGCTTTTGTTCTTCCATTTCTTCATTTTTTAATGTTGAGAACTGATGGAACTCCATGTTTGATTCAAGAATATTAAATTTTATGGGTTTTTGTGATTTTGGGAAGGTGGAATTAATTAGTATTTCCATAGCACATGGTTAATGAATCTAATAGAAAGTTCTTAGTATTATAGTAACTGCAGCAAACATTTTGGCTGGACTCT